ATGATAAGAATTTGAACTAACAAATACTTGATCTTCAATCCTTAAAACTAAAATAAGTTTATCATACTGATCATGATATTTAATCAATCGACATCACCAATATTTTTAGCTAATGTGCATATTTTAAGTACCACAAAGTAGTTTGTGATACAATTTATGAGCTCATTGGGATGTTTTACAGTCTCACTGGAAAGCGTAACAATCTTAGTGGTTCTTTTACAGTCTGAAACGATAACCCTTAGACAACAGTTTTTGAGGTATTTACCGATATACTTTAACAGTAACTGAATAAAATCAAATAGAACTTGGGAAACAGAAACGTGTTTATTAATCGCTAGCTGGTATTCAAGAGGGAGAAATCACATTTTAAAAAATTAGGAAAACCCAAATAGACTTGAACATGAGAAATAACAGTTAATGGTTTTCAAGTTGACACTCCAACTTGAGTATAACTGTGATAAACAAAACCACATTCTCAGAACTATTGGCTAGTGACTGGAGCTATGAATATTAGAAACTGACCTTTAGTGCTTTCGATAACACCACTTACGATCATTTTTTTCGACCAACTATAACATTTCCTACATTTCACAGCCTTTTTTTCCAATCCATATCGTATTGCTGTTATGAAGTGTTAGATTACACACCTTAAGGATATTTTAGTTAATTAAAAATTAACTACAAGCGCTACTTGTTATAATACGATACATTGATAAGGTAATATTCGCCAAATATAAATTTTGATAGTCTTTGTTACATGATAACTAACGAGCATGCGCTGGAAAAATAAAACATATTTTTCCGCTTAGATTTATCCATTCAAATTACCTCACCAATTTGAACAAGATAAGTAAGATGTCTACCTTTTTTTAGAGTACCAAATATACGTCATTTAATTAAAAGTTAAGTTTAGCGAAATTTTGTGAAAACACGTAAACTAGTATTTAAAGGATAACTTCTTATCAAAAATCACCCAGTAAAATTCTGACTTTTATAAAAGCAAACAGACAAAGTATCACTGAAGTAACTAATAAGCTTAAAATAAAATAGTTTTAATCAGTATCATAAGTGAATTAATTTAACGAATGAGACTTCTTCAAACAGTGTTCTTGCAGTTAAATAGATGTTGGTTTCAAAAGTGATAAATTTACATAAAATATATTGAATAAATAGGATGGACTATTAAAAGGATTCGAGGTTCCACGCTGGGTCACCAAGACAGTGCCTAGTCAACTTCAGCTTTGTAACTGTAAGTCTAGGCTGACGAGAAAAGTCTCTGGAACACAGATTGTCTTTGATTACTTGTACCAGCTACATGAAAAAATCATAATTTACATAATTATGGCTAGTTTGCAACCAGACCTTTCTAGCAAGCAGGGTTTCTAGTTAAATTACGTCTACACAGCTAAGAATTTCAATAGTTATCAGCTATATTTATGTTAAATATGTGATAAATTCAAGAAAGTGAGATTGTTCGGTATGTATAACAAAACGTGAGGTATAACCTATGATACCCTGTAAATAATTTAGCAATTTTTGTTACCAGAAAGTAAATAGTTTCATATCTGTAGGAAAATAATAGAAAAACCGACATATAGTGTTAGTGATATGAGCATACTTTAAATACTTCAAACCAAGTATTCAGTGTTTCATGGTTGAAGAAACTAATCATATGTTACAAAAGGAAAGTGCTTTTACTATTTCCAACTATTCTCGTAATTTGAATGACTGGAAACATGATATCGTTGAGCCGCGGTAGGTAGGTGCTAACTATTTGGTTGAGGTCCGTGGAATCGTCTTGACCAATAAAAAGAGACTTAAGTTGACATAACTGTTCACAACAGACTAGATACATCCACTCCCAGCCTTCTTTTAAATCTTAGGATATTAGATGACCCTATTGATTTTTGTTTTCCACTAATTCATATATGCCTACTTATATTTCTCTATAACTTTGCTGTACTATTATTGTGTTGTAGCTCGAACTGATTCACATACATCGGATTTTCCTATGCTTATGATTGACAGACAATAAAGAATATGCAGGTCATTTTTTAGCCAAAAGAATAATTTGCACTTCTACTAGATCCAATAGAATAGTAAGAGTTTTGCTAAATAAGCTGAAAATGGAGTCAGAATTTAGTGAAATAATAAGTGTATAATCTAATTCTTAAAAAGGGTACTGGCGTACTGATAAGATGATGCAATAACCGTACTAAGTGTGTGACTGCTGTTATGGATCCATCACCAAAATAAATTACAATGGTTAAAAATATGATTGGAAGAAATGTTTCAGGAAAATCGAGGCCAAATTGTGTATTTATAAATACCCTCTTGAATACTCAACATTCTATGACTGTGTTAGCATTTATAAATAGACTTATCAGCTTTACTTAATATACTGGTCAAAACCTATTTGTATTTATATACTACTTAAAATATTTATGTCAGTAAAACAGTTTATTTATAAATAAACAAATCTTCGTATTATCTACTTACTTCATCGTAATAGGCACTGTCAGAATGACCATAAAATTTGAATGAAACATTTACAGTAATCAGTTTAAACAATTTAAATCAAGTACGATGACCCATTAGGATTGAATTTAGAAGTTCTCGAGTTAACTACACCATTCATCATGGAATTTTTTATTTTAAATGTAAACACTAGAAATAATTATTATGATTTAATAATCTTCTGACCAATTTACAATTTATTAATTATCCATATTTGTACATGAGTTTTAATCAGTCAAGCTTATGAGCTACGTCTGAACAAGACCAGAGAAAACTTGTGCAAATAATAAATTAATCAAAGTATACAAAGATAACTTGGATGCACAGTATGTGCGGATAGAAAGATTTAAAACGTCGACTAAATTACAAGGCAACAAAGAATTAGCATCTCAACATAATATTAGTTCAAATAACTCAAACTGTGTGCTTAAAGGAGTTAAAAGTAAAACAGCTATCATCATGCAATTCACATTTCATACGGATTATATTACTATAAAATGTTGAAAGTATAAATCCGTATTCTTACTCAACAGCTGAGTAACATTATCCTCGAGTCTCTATATTCGTTGCTGTGTTGAGGTATTGTTATACACTAGTAGGAAGTTCTATAGTATATCTCGTTTTTCAGTCCTGACGACTACGTAGTCACTCAATTACTTAAAAAATTCAGAGTTAGAGGCGATAAACTGTCGCCGTAATCTCTTCAAATAAAAATGTACTAATGAAAAAATTGTTTAAAAACGTGTAATTGTTCCAATTTTTTAACATTTTCAAACAAATACATTTTATATATATTTAAAAGTATGGTCATTATTACTCCTAGTGTTTGCTGAAAATCTATTTGATTTTTATTGATTTCATTGATTACTTTACGTTGAGTGTGACCTCTTAGATTGTTTTCTTAGAAAGTGGTTATAAATATCATTCAGTTTGTACGGTGCTGTTTAATACATAGTCAATATGAAGTTATTTTGTTTTGTCCAGTTCTGAAGTATCTAATACAAAGTGATACGTATTAATGTATGACACGTTTATGTGATACAGTTATTTCGAATGTGTATTACTACAAAATATCGTTTAAATTATTTAATTTACGAGAACATAGTAGAAAGTCATTACGCAACTACTGTCAAACCGGTAAGTTGATTATAATTGAAGTTTTCAAAATGAAAAGCATGAATACATGAACAAAGAGTCTCACATTATAAAAATAATTTTTTATTATATGAAGAGAAATAGTATAGTATTCTTTGTACAAGATGCTGATTCAAACACAAATGTATGCTACATTGACTCGGTTCTTCGATAAGATTAATGAAATACCTGAGTAAAAAATGCATATTATTCCAAGATAAATTAGATATTCGTTAACCAACTAGTTTACCTGATAGTTCAGCAATATTTTTAAATAATTTAGGTCTATACGAAATTGTCAATCATAAGTTTTTGTCAGTTTATGCAAAAGTACATTAAACGAGTTACGTGTAAAAGTATTTTCCTGTTTAGAGGCTTGTTAACTGTTTATTTTATTCGCATGTTATAAATAACCTGCATTAATATCTATTATATTCATTCTTTATTAGTAACATTGACAGTAACAATAATAGTAGCCGTTTTACTCTGACCCTTATGGCAAAAATCTTAACTAATCCAAGTTAAGTAGTTAGATAATTACTCTCATTCTGTTGCATCAAATAAAACTTAACTATCGACATAAATTTTAGTCGCTTTTATTCTGTTTACTAATCTTTTAAAATAAGACAAATTCTTAGATGATTATTAGTAAAGATTAAAATTATCCCCCTAACAAACATCATAACCAATGAATGTAATAATGGTTATCTGGATTTAATAGTACAGTGAATAATGCTCTACAGTTTGAGGTGAAAAGTACTGGATACAGCTTCAAGTGGGAATATTGACAGTGAGATCGAGGTTCCTGAGCCTGATGAGGTGAAATTCGTGTCCCAAGATCCCAATTATTTTATATGATACATTTTTAATTCATTTAAAAATAACAGAAACTGACAAAGTCATTTTCTCTTCGTTCTTGAAAAATATAAAACGAAAAATTCAATTTATAATAAAATGATTATCATTAAAACACAAATCAGTAAATACAAAAATCATAATTCTGCATTCACTAACACAAATCCGTAAAATCAAAATTATCTAGTTTTAAATAACCTAACCTAACCTAAGGATTTCTACTTATAGACAAATAACAGTTGGAGCATTGATGAAAAATAATGAAAGATTGTAAATCTATTACTTTCCCGTTTATAGCTAGTTGATAAAATTTATCCAATACTCATACTAAGCAATGCTCTCTAGTTAGTTCATTTTAATGATTATCTTCACGTTGTTTCTTACAAACTTATACAGATCGCATACATATCATAGAATATTTTTTGATGAAATATCTGAGACAGACGAATAAAACTAATCCGATTCGCTCTCAATTTAAAGTATTCATAACTTACTGGTAAGGAATAACGTGGATACCTTCTAGAAGTGTTGTTATATTTGCTCTCTTCATAATTTCCAAAATCATCAGCTACATGACTTTGACAATATTCCGCTCTGGTATTAGTTATGTGATTCACACCTTCTGATATAACATTCTCGTCAAACAAAACATCATCTGGTATATTTATTTCCAAATGTTCTGTAGCAAATGATACACGTTGAAGAGATGTACTTCGTACTTCCTCTATTTGTTCACTGTCAGATATATCAGAAGGATGATTGGTTAATTTTTCATCTATACTATTTAAACGTAAATTATGTTGATCAGGCGACTGTGATGAAGATAATCTTGCTCTGATATATGAAATAGGCGCTGAATGCTTTCTAATATAATCAGGGCAGATTTCTTTATGATCGGTTGGCTCTGAACGTTTACGTTTAATGAAAGTGTGTATTAGTGATGGACTTCTCATTCGAAATAAATTAAATCGAAATTTCAGTTGAGTATCTAATGAGTTTTTCTTGGCTTGATCATTATGTTCTTTAACCGACTGATAGTTTAAATTATCAGGTTTCGATATAACACCAACTCGACGAACCGATTTCCTATCTTTTGATATCATTTCATCTTTCTGTAATATTCTGCTTGTTTTGTTAGTCACATTTGATTGAAATAATCTAATAATTGTTAGTAAATACTGTAATTTATGACTGTCTATTATTTGTCATTGTTGAAATCATTTATGTCTCAAAAGCGTGAATTGTATCAACTAGGTTTACGAGTTTGTGAATATCGTTTTCATGAACAAAATGACTGACCAATCATTGGTTAGAACAATTGTCGAATCAAAACCTCCCTTGAATATGAGTGGCTAAAACGATATGTGAATCTATGAAATTCGAAGCAGTATTATGTATATTTTGATGTATAACTTTATGAAACTTGTCCCAGTTTCACTCTACTTCAGAATTTAAAATCTTTTGAAGGTTTGAACATATCTACCTAGGTAGTTCACTAATGCTTCAGTCATGTGATAAAAGAGATGAGAGAAGTGATAATGTGATTTTCTGTTTAATCTTTGTTTCTGTTTGTCTTTTATCTATTACAAGCTTGTTGAAAAATTCATTTAGGTGGTCACTAAGTCTTGTTTACAACGATAATTAAACTATGTACATCCAGCCAAACTGACTAGGCACAAACAGTCAACTAAAATTTGACATCAATCCATGATCAAATATATCTCTAAACAAAATATACTATGAAGCTTAATGATTTATAAGCTCCAGTGATAAATTAGACACTGGTGATTAAAATTCAAACCAATCGACAAACCTATAGGTTATATCATTGAAACATTCCTAATCTAAAACATGAATTTAGTCAAGGAATTAATTATTTTAAATGTCTTCCATAATGTACTAATAGAATTACATATAAAATATTGAAAGTTAGAGTGATATTGAGGCACATTTACTGTTTCAACTATTACTTCAGTATTGAAAGTAAGCTTTTGAAATTCAGCCACTCATGTAATAATTTCAGATCTGCACCACACAACTCCGCTATAACATGGAATAAAGCTTAAATTTGCTATCTTAAGGTATAGTATAAGTTTATTGTGTTGAGCTTGTTGATTTGTGTTACATCCATCAGAATGAACCCATGAACAACAGTAAGCAAATTATCTGTTGCTTATCCTTTATCTTCTTTTAAGTTAACGTTCATTGGATAACAACTGTACTAATTAAGTATCTATATACTTATTTTAAAGTGAAGTAACAACCTGAAGTGACATAGTGCTACATGAGAATACTCAATCGATAAACTCGGGAATCAGATCTAAATAACCAGTCATGCATTTTATTTTGGAAAACTGACTACCACAAACTATAACCACATAGGAACCAGGATATGATAGCATTTTTTATTCAACATGAAGTTTCACAGTAGCAGATACAATTAACACGTAACTCAACAAGTATGACAGTACATAAATCACCATCTGGTCTTTAGTTCAAAGTATGAGGTTAACTACTTTATTAATTCAACCAATCAACGATAGTTTTATGCTACCATCAATATCATTTAACTTCATCTATCTTCAATCATCTACAGTCTTGATTCAGTTCCTTGTTGAAGCTATTTGTACGTCGTATTGTATAAAGCAATGATTATTATGAATTTTTTAGCTGTTATCATTATTACTGTTATTATTATTATTATTGTTATAGCAAGAGCTGTTAATGATTCTCAAACAAAGAAAATAATTCTCTTATTTTATATACATTAGTTCGCAAAACGTGTCTAGCTAATCTCAGTTTTGTGATCAAATCAATCTTGCAGAAATCATGATTAACAAGTGTAAAACAAATTTGGTTTATTACTCTTTCCAAGATCATCTCTTGATTTTTTGTTCACTCTTCTCATCTACTTACCCATCAAGTTCTGGAGCAAGACAATCAATATCATTTAGCATAATATTCATTTTTAGTCCAAAGATAATTTAATAAACGAATTTCTTTTTAAATGGCTTAAAACAAGAAACAAAATATATGATTTTAGAAAATCCTACTATGCTCGCATAAGTTACCAGAGATTAAAGATCTAAATAAACTTATAGATAGTGCTTTTTCCAACACATAATAGAAACTTACAAAAAATATTCCTGTCTTAAATCGAGCATTTTATCACTGCATTTTGAAGCCCAAAAATTTGATATTATGTGGAGGCTAGGAAGTAGCTGAGAATTCACTATCAAGCGTTTCGATAACAGAAACATATTACAGTTAGATTTCATTTTGAAAATATTTGTATATTAATGCATATCTATTGGCTGCATGGATGTTTCCATTGATGTTAAGAATTGCTAGCCACCATCCATCTCTAATAAGTATGTATTTCTTTACACTGATAGAAAAAAAAGTTGAAAAACTGAGACTTGACACAGTCTCAAGATAATTAAACTGACATCCTATTATGTATTTCACTCATATTCAAACTGTTTTGCAACTCATAACCTTCAAGCACTTTGAAAATCCATTGAATATACAACAGAACTTCAAACTGGATTTTAGTTTGAAAAATGGACACATTATCAAGTAAAATATTTTCAAATTATTATAATCGCTCAATCCCACCAAGGTCAGCTAGTCACAAAAAAGCTTGAGACAAATAGATATTGATCCTGGTTGCCACAACTTAAATCAGTGTGATGAGTAAAAAGTCGACCAAAATAAGTTAATTAAAATGCCATTGTCAATTAGAGTGATGAACCAAACATTTGAATTAAATTTCAAGCGAAACGAACGAACTGAGAAGTATGAAGAATAAATATTTTTAGACAAAGTAAACATATCCATAATAATGTAGAGATGGCGATTATTGCCATTCGATGTATCTAACCATCAAGTGTGATCATCTCAATAACTCCCACCAAAAAGTTCACTAGACACCAAATACTACTTAGATTAATACTCATACGTGGAATGATAATATGTCTTAAGTCTAACAGCCACGAAATTTCACTCAATATATTCCTCTACTCATTGTTAAAGCATAACATGGTTGATATAGTAACTAGACATGCTTAACACTGGTACTAACTACACTACACTACAAAATTCCAAAGAATCGTAAATGGTACAGCTTTTTTTAGTAGCAGTTTAACACCATGAAGTACTATTCTGATATTGTATCATCTTTACCAAATAGAAAAGACAAGTTATTGAAACAAGCATCTACATGAAGTGTATGCACATGAATAACTGATAATTTTTTAATTGATTCATGTAACGTTCATAGTGTTCTTCTGACTACGTGCAAACATTAAACCAACTGAAAAGTTTACTATTGACTAGTGAAATAATGTACAAAGTAAATAAATCAATTTTGTGCCTCATTCTATTTTATTTAGTATATGTGAAATTTATTAACGTAATTGTCACACATATATTCAAAGTCAGTAATAATCAAGTTAAATCTGAAAGTTGAAATATACAAATACATATCAGATAAATTTGATTCTTCACAACATCTAACATTGTGTATCACGTTTGTAGACTGTTTTCTTAATCTGACACAAGTTAACTAAATTCATGAGATTTTAATTTGTTTGGTGTTTATCTAGGCTTGATCAAGTTAATTAATAACATTGATTAATTTAACCTTATCTCAAGGTAGGGCGTATAAACAAGTACTTAAACTAGGTGTATTCATAAATTGCATTCTTCATTAAATTTCTGTGTTTTCTATTTCATTCATATTTCAACGAATAGATGCATTGATTTTTATCAAATAATTCATGTTTTTAAAACAGCTTATTGTCATTTCCAAACACTTTGTACATAGGCATTACTTTTTTTTCATAAAACATTTTATAAATATAATACGAACCGGATTACATTTCCTGGTTGTCATGAAACAAACTAGTCACATCAGTTTCATTATTGTGTATATGTTCTTTCTTTTTCTAACACTATTATCTAGAAGTTGATAAGTCAATGTAACATTTTAACTATTCAATTCTAAATATGCAAATAAATGATGAAATGCAACTGCTTGATTAGTTCACAAATTGAATTCCATAGTACAAGCATATCTTTGTTAATTTCTCTCTCTCTGAATGTGTAAGCTAAAAATCTTTATTTTTTGTCTCTATTTTTGAAAATATATGTACATCGATATGATTTATTGCATTGTACTACTTTCAAAAAATATCTTTCTTGAAATATCCATTTCTGTTCAATAATAGAGTAAAATATCAAACATGAACACAACACATAAGATATAAATCAAGCTAGTAGTATATAGCGATAACGAATTCACCTAGACATTTAATTAGTATTTAGTATTCTATATTTTAAATTTGAGGCTACCTTTCTGAATTTTCGCTTTATTTAAAAATATAATCAGTAAATAAATAACTGAAATCAAATGGGTGATAAGTGAGAAAAACGACACTAACTTCAGTTTATTGATTAGCCGAAACAAAAATATTCGAAATATGATAGAGCCGTCCGATTAAATAACACAAAGCAGACTCAACTTTAATCCTGTTGAAGTGTGTAAATAATGGTTTGCTATGAAATGGAATTCAGCTAATCAATAACACCTTAATTTGAACGAATGTTCGCCGGCTGTCTATTGATTTTTTGAGCATCTGCTAGTTAACTGATGTATATTTCAAACGTTGATTTTGAAATTCTGAGATGCTGTTTGCTTAGAAATAGGCTATATATGCATTTGGAAACAATTAGTACCAAAATAATTTATCGGAAGATACACAGTTTTTACTGACTGAATAATTGATGTGCCGAAATCATAATATATTTCGACTGATATCATTGCAGTGACATGATTAAGCTTTTAAAATGACTTAATTGAGAATAAATTATTATTACAATTTATTTGACAGACAGGAAATAAAAACAAGACAAATTTATGTATAAATCCAGTAAGACCTCACTTACTTTTCAAGCACATACTTTTAAAATTTCAACTGATGTTACTTTATCTATTTACTACTAATGAAATATACTACTATCAGTTATGAACAGTAGTTAAATGTCATCTGTTGCATTGAACAAGTGGCATGAAAACACAAAATAGATGTTTTGAGATTATTTCAAACCGACCACATTATTAGAATTCTGAGAATGAAGTAACTAAATTGTATGAATCTGATCATTTGATTTAAGAGGTGTGATGTAACAGGGGCTTCAATTTAATGCTCCTTTCTACACTTTACCTGAAATTACATAGTCAAAA